ACATCTTCAGACAATTCTAGAAGAACTTGACCTTATAGATATTTGGAGAATCAGGAACCCAAATAAGAAGGCTTTTACATGGGAAGGGAGAGCGCAAGGAAGAAAATCCAATACAAATGAACGGCTATATCGCAGACTTGATTATTTCTATATCACCAACTCTTTACAACCTTGTGTAGGGAAGGCAGAAATAATTCCGGCACCAGCTACTGATCATTCTACAGTAGCTCTAAACCTCGAACCTTTACCAAGTAGTATACACGGCCCCTCTTTCTGGAAAATGAATAACTCTTTATTGGAAATAAAAGAGTATAGGGAGGAAATCAAGAAACTAATCGAGGAGAAAAAGCTTGAATCTAAAAAACATCAATATAACCCCCATATTACATGGGAATTGCTGAAATATGAAATAAGAAAGTCAACAATTGAATACTCCAAGAAGAGGGCTAAACAGGTAAAAAAACTATACAAGGAATTAGAGAAGGAAATAATTGAAATTGAAGCAACGGAAAATTGGACAGTAAATCTTAACTTAGTTCAAAGGCGGGACGTTTTACAGAAGAAATTAAATGAAATAAGTGAAAAAATTACAAAGGGATTAATCATGCGATCTAAGGTAGAATGGGCAGAACATGGTGAAAAAAACAATAAATATTTTCTAACCCTCGAAATAAGGAGAAAAAGTAAAACACACGTTCGTAAGCTCCTTATAGATGAAAACGAGGTTACAAGTCCCTCCATAATCCTTAAGGAATTAGAAAAGTTTTATAGCGACATCTATTCCCCAAAGACTGTGACCAGTGGAGATCAAATAGAGTTTTCCGATTTAGCGGTATTTTCCAAATTATTACCAGGCTAATCCGTTTCACAGTAGTCTTTGTTGTGTTTTAGCATTGCTGTATAGGACTTTTGTTTTGCCTTAAAACGAAGCTTAAATTAATTCATTAGAAGTGACGGTTTAGAAGTGCGACAATTATGCAAGACATGCTCAATTTCCTTCATAACTTAACTCCTCAAAAAAGTGTTTTTATATTGAATTGTTCATAAGTGCATTTGAACTTCAAAAATGATCTGTTTTAATATTTCCTACCAATGCAATGATCTCAAAATATGATAATTTTGTAATGTTATTAGCGTTCTACTAGTTATAGTTATTTACTAGGTAAGTGAGAGGCAATTGGCTTAGGCACATACGTGCCCTTGAAAAATAGAAATAGATAAATCTCCCGGTAGTCCCCTATATTTGCTATACGGGTATGTGCCGCAGGATAGGGTCCCTTTTTCGGGGCTCCAAGTCTTGGATAGGATATCATTTTTTGCCCATTTGTCTGGGTTAAGGTAGTAGTTTTGACTGGGATAGGGTAGTTGGTTGTTTAGGATAGGGTATAATCTCATTGTCTGGGGTAGGGTGGAGTTTTTTCTGTGATCGTATCTGCTAGGCCACGCTTTCAGCGCTAAAATAATGTATCTTTGTACCTTTAGTCTKGGTGTAGC